CACAAACTTATAGTAAATATGTATTTTATATCGCAATTGAAAAACAGATAAGGTAAACGTATCTCACGTTAAGTATTTATTTTTAAAGATCATAATTTTGGGGTGATGGAATGGTGAGCACAACCTCTCAGTTCAGCGCACTAGTTGCAAAGCTACTATTAAGTAATATGTGCCACTTGAAGCAGGTGTATGTGAGATCATCGCGAATGTTTGTACTCGACTCATGGACACTTGCAACCTTATTTGTATAATGATATGCCCGTGTTAAGTTTACGCATTTTAATATTGATTTTCATTAATATTGTTATACTGAAAATTACAGATCTTCTTGAATTATATGCCTAGTAGTCTCCAAGAAGATAATAAGCTTATGGAAATTATTGCACGTCTCAATTACGAGTCAACTTCACTTACACTTATATTCTACTGTCTTATTACAGAGACAGGTCAATAAACCTATATATTCCTATAAACATAGGTCTTTTTTTTCTTTTGACATACGAAATCCTTAAAACCTAATACTACAACGTTTTACGTAGCATTACACTGTTTTAGTACACCGGTATCTAAATTAACGTGGGTGATATTTGTCAACGTGACTTTTGGTTTTTTCTCTTGCCCTCGTGCTTGGGAATCCTTATTATGGCAAGCTTACTAAATCACGTGACAATTAGATAACTTCTATAGAACAGACGAGATACAAAAAATAAAATAAGGCACAAATCGCGCATGAACTTAAAAAGGATAACAATGTTATAGTAATAAAACACACATTTATACATCAAATGTCTGAGAAAATTTTAATAGAGAGCCTCGCGTGTGCAAACACCTGTCTCACGCTCTTTTGACTCATCTGTGCAGTCCCGTTTACGGCTTTTCGATTGGTTCAAAAAATATTGCATCGATAAAGTTAGTTTTTTATTGATTGTTATTTTAGAATTTAAATTAATTAATTTTAATATTTAATTTCTTATAGAAATATTTACGTTATTTATATAATCGTATCCGGTTAATTGATCGCTCACTGAGGATTACACATAAATCTGTAGAATTTTTGCGTGTATGTTTAGAGTTTCCTCTAAAAATCAGTCATCAAATAATAATCATATAATTAGTTGCATAAATAGAGTTCCAAGAAAATCAAAATTAATTCTTGACTTAGTTGAAAACGTAACCTATAAAAGTATCAAACGCAACGTAAACTATAAAAGTATATCAGCTGGATGGACTTTAACTTTTTTACTCTACCTGCCAAACTAAATCATTCCATGATATGTATAGCCTTAGAATATTGTTTAATTTAAAGTCTAACAAACTTTTTACCTTAAGTAGTTAAAATGTAGCAACATTATCAAGCAATTACATCACTGACCCAAAGCATAAAAATTTATGAAAAATTAATTATATATTAAATTAATTAACAAAAATTTTACAAAATGTTTCTATATAATTTTGGCTAATGGTAATAAACCATCTAGCACTCGCGAGATTTACTTCCTTATAAGTTTGAGAAGTGTTTTTGTGTAACAAGTTATTGCTTTCGTTAATGTATTCTCTACTCATAACTATTCAGACAGACTGACATTTCTATAGATATCTTCGATCATTGCTATGCAATATACGTACACGGGACATGGCATTACGTATTTACCCTCATTGTGCGATACGGATTGTAATAGAACTAGTTACTGTGACTTTATCACGAAAATCAAGTGCTTATCGAATTTCTAACATGTAGTTATATGAAAATTTCGTACTAATATTAGCTATCTACATCTTTGTAGAAGTTTCTTATAGACCATTTACACAAGGTCAATAGCGGAGATAATATAGTAAAAATAGAAAAGGTTCTATTTTATTCCCCTCACTCGATTACTTGAGGATTATCTCTATTGACACAATGCCAATAGTGGCAAAGCTAACTGGGGCCCAATTTTACTAATTTTTTTTTTAAATCGTATCGAAAACGGATCGTAACCGATCGAAACTACAGTCACTTTGTAGAATAGGACCATTAAAAACTGTAGTTTCGTTCGGTTTCGATCCGTTTTCGATTCGATTTAAACAAAATTTATTTAGTAGAATTGGCCCCCAGGACTGTATCGGCTGCTGGCCTCACGTGTAATGGTTCTAATACAAAAACTTTACATTTGCTCGCTCTATACAATCATATTTTACTGATAAGAACTGCCAGGTCAAATCTGTTAGTGTATGTTTACTTCATAATTGCATTTTAATAGAATCTCAACGATTTGCATTTTACTATTATATTATTTACTTAATATCCATCATTATAAGTGCAATGTCTTCCTAACACATCAATGGTGACAGGCATATAATAATATTTGACTTCAGGTAGATAGTACAATGGCAAAACGCAAGTGGACGATATTCTATTGAGATGCGATTATTAAATAAAAATTTGCAGATTGGTCTGCTGACCGGTTTTATACAGGGTTATGGGTAATTAGACCGGCTCCTTTCGGTCGTAGGGGGGGAGGTGATTTATAATTATTTTCACCCCATAATGTATATCCTAAAGTTTTTTTTTTTTTAAAGTAAAGTAAAGTAAAAAGCAAATTTACATCAACAAAAAATGTTTTTTATTAACACTTCAGTAGTTTCTGTTTGGGCCAATATTATTTGGGTTTTATTATTATTTATCACGAACTGGAATGTTATCTCTCCAAAACTGTCGACAATCTGACAGATTCTGATCATATGAATTTTGAACTTTTTTAAAGAAAAATAAATAAATACAATTTGTCACAAAAATGTCTTGCTCTCGGAAACATAATGTGAGGTGAAAATAATTTTAAATGACCTTCCCTACGACCTCTTAAAAGGATCCGGTCTGATTATCCCATAACCCTGTATATATTTAACCTGAAAAATCTAGATGATATTTAATATTTCTTTTTCATGGGTCATAAATATAACAATATAGTAGATGAATATAAATTCTCTGATAGAGATTGATCCTTTACGCGTGTTCAGAATAATCTATATATATATGTTATAGATATAAACATTCAACTTCCATTATTTCCGTTGTGTTAGCAAAACCTGAAAACCTTATTTTGCTCAGATATCGAATGGTTATGTTTTAATGTTATACAAATTTAGTATACGTATGTTCAACCCAAATATATCTTGAAAATGTATTTTTCAGTTCAATCAAAAGATTTTTATTACATTAACTAGTTACACAAACGTCCATAATGATTTAATAAGGACTAATTATTATTCTAAATTTGAAAAAAGCAACAGTACTATTTTGTAAAAACAGCATCGAACTCTAATAATTATTACAAAGAAGCACATGAATGTATCCCAGAAACATTAGAAATAAAAATAGGCTTGTTCTCGACATAGTGCTTAAAAGCGATTTAAAAATAACTGCTACTGTATGTGACAAACAATATTTAATAAGATTCCGGAATCTATAAACAACACACCTCTTACTAGGTTTGAGAAAGAGTTATGTAACTCGCTAGCTGAGGTCCCTTTTATTCTGTGCATGATTTCTTAGACTGTGGAAACTGAACAATTATAATTGTATTACTTCTTCTATCTTTTTCATATACCCTATTTCTAACGCAAACAAATTATTATTATTTACAAAAAAAAATATTCAAAACCCTATGTTTTCTATAACGTGTCAGCGCTGCGTTAGTCGACGAGTTCGGGGATCAACGGAATATCATTGCAGATCGACAAATGTCAAACTAGAAGTCTGTTTGGTGTAATCGTGGGACATAGTTTTGATTCCAATGTTAATATTATTATATTTTTAATCGATGTTATCAATTAATATTATAGTGGTTAGTGTACATTGACTCGCTGATATAATAATAAAAGTTTTTTATTGTTATATCAGCGAGTATTTCTATAGTATTTTTATATTCTAATAATAGTTTCTATTATATAATAATAGTTTATTTCAGGATATAACATAGGATTATATTAAAACATTACGGCATTATCGCGTAACCTTTATAACCTATTTGATTGAAGCCTCAAAATTATTTCAATGTATAATAGGAATAAGATAATACTATTCTAACTAAAACATTTTTAAATAGTTTATAATTTTTCTTTTCATATCTGTTCTGAAAATTTTAAAAGCTTTTGTAAAATATATTAAGTGTATATGTATAGGAACCAATCAATAATACGGTCAAAATTTTTACATTCATTTATTCAGACGGGAATCGAACAAGACGAAGGGAAAATTAGCATGCAAATCACTCGACTACAGAGAACCTCATGAAATATATTACTTTGTAGATGTTTAATGAACTTAGCGTTTTATTACATAATATTTGATTGATCAAAATAAGCTTTTACCCGACAAATGATGTACGCTCAATATTATGGAGTCTATAAAGGATTTACGGTGTCGATTTCTAAGCAATATGATTCTAATTAAACCGATAATTATAATTTTATTTGTGGATAACAGGCAAATGTAGCATATTAACATGCTATTGGACTGTTTTTGAAGCTAATAAAATTTGATATATCGTTCTAATATCTGCCCGTTTATGTAAACTAAGCATACTGTGTCAATATTGTGTGGTTATAGAATTCACAACTTTTACTATTACGTATTTACGAAACCTTCATGTTATTTTATTGAAAATCCTTTTGTCGTTTTGTTAGTAAAATAAATAGTTTAGGGTTTAGACATGTCTGTACCTCTATTTCGTAGCTTATAAAAAAGTTTAATGTGACACGGGTTATTTATTATCTGTTAAGTTTCATGTTGAATATAGAAAAGTTAACTGAATTCAGTTTCTATATGATTTATCAATAAGTGCGACCGTGAAAGTGTACAGTGGCCATTCTAGATCCACATTGTTTTCACCGTAGAAGAATCGGACGAGTAACATTAAAATCATAATTCTCGTATGGCCGAAGGCCGAATCTTAGGAAGAGTCAGGGAGAGAGGCGTCGACTAACCGCGGTATATAAGCACACGGTCGATGGTTGAGAGCATCACACAACCACGACACCTCCGTGAGACAACATGAAAGCGTTCTTGGTAGGTACTCGTGTGCAGTGAAAGTGAATAATGTGACCTGTGTGACCCGCGCGCACCCGTGACCGCGCACGGTGGGACCCGCTCGCGGGATTCTGTGACTTAGTGACGTCGACCGCTCGGTTCTATACATCGGCTCCAATGCAAATATTGAGCTTCGATGTTTAATAGAACTGGACTGTTGACAGTTATGTTCAGTTTTTTATAGTGTGCATTTGTTTTGTAGGTATTAGCTGCTGTGGCGACTCTCGGCTCGGCGCGGCCCGAGGCAGGGTACAGTTACAATGCTCCCGGTGGCGGAGGCCTCGGCGGAGGTCTCGGTGGAGGCCACGGCGGCGGCCACGGCGGCAGCATCGGCGGTGGTCACGGAGGCGGCTTCTCCTCCGGCGGCCTGAGCTCTAGCAGCTTCGGCATTAGCGGCGGTGGTGGCGGATTCTCATCCGGCGGAGGATTCTCATCCGGCGGTGGAATCAGCAGCGGCTTCGGCGGTGGATTCGGCGGCGGTGCCGGCGGCGGTTTCGGCGGCGGTGCCGGTGGTGGCTTCGGAGGCGGCTCCGGCGGCGGATTCGGCGGCGGCTTCGGTGGTGGCCCCATTGTCCAGAAGCACATCTACGTGCACGTCCCACCCCCAGAACCTGAAGAACAACGTCCCCAAGTGATCTCCGGAGGTGGCGTTGCCCAGAAACACTACAAGATCATCTTCATCAAGGCCCCGGCTCCTCCCGCGCCCCAAGTGCCCATCATCCCCGCTCAAGCTCAAAACGAGGAGAAGACCCTCGTATACGTGCTGGTCAAGAAACCCGACGAACAGCCCGACATCACCATCCCCACCGCTGCCCCCACCCAGCCCTCAAAACCCGAAGTTTACTTCATCAAGTACAAGACCCAGAAGGAGGCTGGTGGTATTGGCGGTGGTATCGGCGGTGGTTCTGGACTCGGAGGCGGTCTTGGAGGTGGTCTTGGAGGTGGTCTTGGCGGTGGTCTTGGCGGTGGTCTTGGCGGTGGTCTCGGCGGTGGACACGGTGGCAGCATTGGTGGTGGAATCTCCGGTGGCAGCATCGGTGGTGGTATCTCTGGTGGTAGCATCGGCGGTGGTCACGGAGGAAGCATCGGAGGTGGAAGCATCGGTGGTGGCAGCATCGGAGGCGGGCACGGTGGCTCCTCAGGTGGAGTCAGCTCCTCGTATGGCCCCCCCGGCCAGTCCGGCCCCTATTAAACAGCGCACAAAGCGCTTCCCAATGTGATACCTGCTCTGCCGGCGAACCTAGTTATAAGTAGAGAAAAAATTACGGTGCCTAAATGTATTTATGTAAATAGTAATTTTAATTAATTTTAGTTGTATGATAAAGTTCTTTTGCATAAAACTTATAAACAAACCACTTACTTTTCATTGCCAAATTCTACCTTTACTCACTAAAACTTTATAAATCGACATTAATCAGTTTTTTTTTTCATAATTCGACAGTAAGTTTAAGTATCAAAAAATTTATGAATCAAAAGATATATTTGAATTAAAATAATAGATTATAATTATCATTCACTATAAGTTCACATACCTAACAAATATTCAAAATTCTATTAACAAGATAAAATAAACAAGGTGTCTAAAATTATAGAAAGTTCCGTTACACAGCGGTGTGGGCGACACACGCTTACGCAACCCGGGCAATCTGACCCCAGTTGCATAATGCATTCAGAAAGAAGATCCATCTCGCAACATCTTTTATAGAAAATAACAGTTTCGCTAAATATATTTATTACACAACGCACACGCCTATTGCGTTTCAACAATAATATTGCGTATACTTGACATTTAAGATTTTCCCTTTTCAAGAATATTTAATTTGTTACGCCATAATGATCAATAAAACGTTTGCGCCTATGGCTGTATGGTCACGTATTCATTTGCCTTTTAATCTAATGAAGAAAGTGTATATGATTGTGTGCATTATTTAAATTGGAGGGCGGGCGAGTTACAGGTCATAAACCGAGGAACAAAGAGTAAGGAGGAATAATGTGCAAGCCAATCTCTGACGGTACAAGTTGTGATATAACAGAACGATGACACAGAACGACTTATCTGAATATTTATAACATGCGGAGAAACTCGACTTCCGCGGGTCACGCTCGGCCAAGCATTTTGGATCTGTTTATTTAGAAATGTTTTACAAATATGAGCTGATGCGTGTTCTTGTTTATCAAAGTGATTTGCTTGTGTCTGCTATTATTAACGCGTTTGCATTTGAAATATTATAAATGTTCAATTATGACTAATTCTAATACGTGTTCATGTATTTGCATAACAACTAGGTTCCTATTCGGCAAAACAATTAAATTTTTAGTCTGATAATGGAGATTTCTTAAAAATGAAAAAGTTTAAAAATTTAACATTTATTTATTTATTTGGAAAAAGTACACCAACAGTATAACATATGGTATATTGATAAAATTCTTATTTGTTAAAATTAAATAATCTTCATGTACAAAAAAAAAAATTAGTCCAACCATTCTCGAATGTTGGGCTTAATAACATCAACTAAAGAAACAATGTTTTTATTCTACGTAGGAATTATTATAAGAAACGAAAGAAAGGAACTGCCGGAAACTTTTTCTCACTTCTTGAAAATTCACGTACAAAAGGAATGGTTACAGTATAATTAATTGATGAAGAAGCGATTTTACCCAATTCATTTTAAGGTAATAACCATTACAGTGAATTAATAATGAATAAATTTACATATTATCATATTGAATGCAAACAGAAATCTTAAATCTTCTTTATTCTTGATTTCCTTTAATTTTATACTTACTCTTCATTAAAGTTTAAGACCTCCGTTACAAACTAAGTCAAACGGCTCTAGGATGTCGTAATCTCTGAAATATTGGATTTGATTCCCATATATGTGATGTATAATAACATTTTCAATGTTTTGAGTTTTAATAGTTCTGGTGCTGATAGAACTATACTGATAGAACTGAGCTTGATTATCCAATTTAATCCAAATTAGTTACCAACATAATGACAATTAGAAACTAACTAAATATTAGTAAAAATATTTCTTTCGGCTGTTTGGGTGGACTGCCTCAACATTGATGAGAATACGCTCTGTAGTAGTGAAAAGTAACAAGTGCTTGAAAAATACGTCAGTCCTGTTAGGTCCCGGGTAGCTCAGTGGTTAGAGCAGTCGCTCGGCTGGCGAAAGTTCATGGGTTCGAGCCCTATCTAAGAGTGCTAAGGACAAAGGGAATTTTTAAGCTTTTTTCATGAAATATAAAGTTAAGTTTTTAAATTAAATAATACCTTTAAGTATTACCAAGGGCATTACGTTATGAACCTTCAGAAGCTATGAAACAACAAAAAACTATAACAATAAATACTTATTTGACAAAATCAAATTAATTACTCGGTCCCTAATTATGTAGCTAAAGCATTTATATTATGGAAATCTGACACAACGAAGGCACCACAACACCCAGAACCGAGACAATATAGGAAAGTTCATTTTCTATACAAGAGCCCGTCGGAACTCGGGACCTTTAAACCGGCGAACGAGTCACTCGGCCGCGGAGGTAGTCATAATATACATGAACAATCATGAAATTCCGTGCTTCGGACGGCACGTTAAGCCGTTGGTCCCGGCTGCATTTGCTATCGTTAATACCCTCCAATCCGTATTGGGCCAGCTTGAAGGGTCATGGCGCATCCCCCTCATCATCCATAAGGCCTGAGCCCCTGTAATGGGGACGCAAAAGGGCTGATGATGATCATCATGAAATAGTGTATTATTTTTTAATTACCCGCTCATAAGCTATTTCATTATACAATATAATTTATGTCGACACACAAAATTAATATGACGTCATCAACGGATGCAAATCATTTATTACATCGATCACATTGCATTAAACAACTACCTATATCTTTTCGCATCTGACGGTACGCACGGCCGCAGGTCACGCTGCACACCACCACTGTAAGAGACCTCTGTTAGTAGAGTGGTTTCATACGAAGCGCGGTCGGTGCAAAGTCGGTGTGTACAATCATTGAAAGTTGATCATACATTTCCTAATAGCTACACAGATTAATGTCTCAACTCAGGATATAGGTGTAATACAAATCGATCTATTACTAACTATAACTTAGTGAGTGATATTACGATAAATTATAGTGTTATTAAATTGCAGAATATACTTGAGTTAATTATAACACGAGAGCAGCAAAGTAGAAGCATTTTTTCTTCAATGCGCATTTTTATTAGTTATTGGGGCCCGCATGGGAGGTGCGATAATAATAATAAACTAACCAGCTACAAGCTGAAAAATCATGAAAAATAATAATAAACTTTATTTGTTATTATTACATGCGGGTGACACAAGAAAAGCGGTATGCGGTATTGATGTAGTACCGTATTTTATCTGCCCTAATTATATTTTTAAGCATAATTTATCTAAGCATAAATATATGGCGCTTGCCGGCCACCACCGTGATACGATCGCTCTGCTCGCTCGTCTTCGCTTTTATTTTGGTCACAGTTCGACTTAAGCCAATCAATCGCTTTCCTCATGCGAATGAAAATTATCTAAAAAAAAACCTAGTTTAAAACAAAGCAAGCTCGCATATATTTTCTTATTATTTAACATGAGAAAATGAGGTCAAAGACTCGGTGCTTGGCGCGTTCAGGGGGTCAATTCTACTAAATAAATTTTGTTTAAATCGAATCGAAAACGGATCGAAACCGAACGAAACTACAGTTTTTAATGGTTTTCCTATTCTACAAAATTACATACGATACAATTCCAGTTCTATTTTAGCTGGAATTGTAAAAACTGTAGTTTCGTTCGGTTTCGATCCGTTTTCGATTCGATTAAAACAAAATTTATTTAGTAGAATTGCTCCCCAGTTCACAAACCGCAAGTTAAGCAACTTTCCTAAGGGCCGTTCAGGAGATGGAAGACCAAAAATTTATTATATTCAGCTCAGTGGTTCAATGCAGTAGTTTATAAACACTTTGAAGTAATGAATACTATTTGATCAATAAAAGTTTATTATTACTATTATAATCTTAACAGGGTTCATGTGTTGGGTCATTAAGAAACAATAATTCTAAATATTCTCTACAAAGGCGAGTGTTGAAACTCGTGAAGGTTAAATGAAAAATGTGTTGGCTGGATTGTTTGTACATCATAAGTAATTGAACTTTAAGCTCGATCATAACCGAGTTAAGTAACAGATCAGTCCTATAAATATACAATACTTTTAGTCGTAGTTGTTTATTAACAGGCTCTTGTAGACTGCAGATGATGCTATAGATACGTCTTTATTTGCTGTTTTTTTTTGTCATAGTTGATGAAAGATGCATCCAACTCTTGAAGTATATGTATACTCATGGAACTTCGTCGAGTTCAATCCACTTGATTATTTCACATCTAAAAACACACGTTATCATCAGCATCTTACGTCGCCACTGAAGGGTCTCCGGCCTTATGGTTAAGAATGATATACCATACCGCTCCACGCTGGCTTAATGCATATTGGAGGGTATTACATGCCTTCCAAAGCATGAAGTCGAATATTGTTTTTAGTCACCCATCCCGTGATCGACCCTTGCGAATGTGGCTTAGTAGCAACGATCGCGGTCCACGGCACTTATTCACTACGCCAACGAGCTACTCTTTATTACTAACCACGTTAATTTAATATTAAAATATATATGTATTATTATCAGATAAAAATAAATGCTGATAAATGTTATTAGCTTATCTGATATTAATTGACGATACGTCAAATAATAATAAAACCTCTTACGAAAGCAGACACGTTAATTGAATCTGTTCTTGTTTCTAAAATTGGTCTTTTATAGATATAATATTAAAAGGCGTTCGTTAAAAATACATAAAATTGGATTTCTTATAGAAAAAGATAATTTAGCAAATACGGAAACTCCAATTTTGGAGGATAAAATTCAAAAAGTATATTTTATGTGGAAGCGATAAATTAACTGTAACTAAAGAAATAAATAAATTGCCGCGACAGATTAATTAATTTAGCCTAGCATTTACTTCATTTTCCTTTTCCTTTTGAAGATATACACGTAAATATGAAGCCACATCACATTCATAATGCTCGTACCCAAAAACAAGTATGTATTCAAACATTTGTATTAGGAAATCAAATATTCCACAAGATCTAGACCAGAGACAATATTGTATACTCAATATTCTTACATTGACCGCAGCGTGGAGGACCAATAAAAAAGCTTTTTGTTTTCAAAATCATTTTACAAAATGTTCGTAAGTAAAAGGATAATTCCGATAAAATCTGGATTATTGAGTAGTTAATAAATATTTGAAAAGATACTTTTTAAATG